CCAAGTGGCCTTCTTGTCAATCTTACCTGTCCAAGGATTTGGGCCAGGAAGGGACAGGAGTGCCTCCGAGGTGAATGACTGGCTTAGGATGTGGTGCCAGAAGGAAAGCTTTGGGTTCCTCGACCATGGCACTCGTTTTCTTGCCAATGGACTTCTGGCAAGGGATGGGTTACACCTCATGAGGATGGGGAAAAGGTCCTTTGGAGATGCTTTAGTGAACTTCGCCCGAAAGATTTAAACTTGGGCGGGGGGGGGGGGGTTCAGGCCCCCTGTGACGTGTCTGCACTGGACAAGTGTGGGGCGAGGATCAGGGCTCTGGGAGCAGGGTTTTAGAGATACTGCAGGGACTGACAGGACTCCCACAGAGAGGGGCCAGGTATCAGGGAGGAGGGGAGGAAGGAGGAGGCTGGGAACTCCAAGGAAAGGAAGAGGTGGGAAGGAGTTGAGGTGCATGTGCACCAATGCTAGGAGCATGGGTAATAAGCAGGAAGAGCTTGAAGCTCTCCTGGGAATAGGAGGGTATGACCTGGTGGGAATCACAGAAACTTGGTGGGATGAAAGGCAAGTCTGGAACGTGAACATAGAAGGGTATCACCTTTTTAGAAAGGAAAGGAAGGGAAAGAGAGGTGGGGGCGTGGCTTTTTATTTTATTTATTTATTTATTAAAATATTTCTATGCCGCCCTTGCCAAGGCCTTTGTACATCAGGGAAGGGATAGGATGCAGTGAGATAGAATGCAGCACAGATGGGAACTTGAGACCCTGGATGATGTCCTGACAGACCAGATTCTAAGGGTATCTCGGGGTAGAGACACAGTAATTATGGGAGATTTCAATCTCCCGGATATTACTTAGGAGACTCACTCGGCAGTGACAGCCAGGTCACATTGCTTCCTAGCAGCTATAGAGGGAGAGATTTTCATACAGAGGGTTCGAGAGGCGATGGGGGGGGGACATCCTTGACTTGGTCTTGACCAATAGGGAGGAACTGAAGTACAGATTAGGGGAGCTCTGGATGCGAGTGCTCACTCCATCCCTTGCTTTGAGATCAGGGGCCTGGGGACGTGCAGCAGGCCGAGCACTAGAAGCTGGGACTTCAAGAGGACCAACTTTGGCCAACTGAAGGCCAGACTGGGGAAAGTCTCCTGGGATGGGTTACTGGAAGGTAAGCGAGTTGAGGAGGGGTGGATGGCACTCAAAAGGGAGGTTTTGGAGGCGCAAGCCTTGACAATACCTCTAGTCAGTAAGGTGGGGAGGTGGAGGAGAGTGCGCCATGGATGCAAAAGGAGGTGGTTAGAGGGATTAGACGAAACACGAACCTCCATAGGAAATGGGTACTGGGGCAAATAGACAAAAAGGTATACTGGGAAGAGGAGGCCCGTTGCAGAAGGATTCTTCGCAAGGCTAAGGTTGATTACAAGCTGAGACTTGCCAAGAATATCAAGAGCAACAAAAAGGGCTTCTTTCAGCATATAAATAGGAAGAGGAAGGGGAGACAAGTAGTGGGACCACTAAATAAGGAGGAAGGCGATCCAGTGACTGATATGAGGGAACAGGCACAGATGCTAAATGACTATTTTGCCTCTGTGTTCTCCCCAGAGCAGGACAGGGGATATCTGCATAGGAGATTAGATGAGGCTGGGAACTTAGGGGCACAGGTTAGAGTTACCCCCCTTGAAGTCAAGGGGCTCCTCAGGGCATTGGACATTACAAAGGCACCAGACCCTGACGGGTTACACCCGAGAGTACTTAGAGAGTTGGCAGGGGTTCTCTCACTCCCTCTGGCCTCCATTTTTGAGACCTTGTGGAGAACGGGTGAGGTCCCAGAGGACTGGAGGGTGGCATCAGTGGTCCCAATTTTCAAAAAGGGTAGTAGAAGGGACATGGGGAATTATAGACCGGTTAGCCTTACTTCCATTGCAGGAAAAACAATGGAAAGGCTCATAATAGAGAGAGATCTAGTGATGCTAGATAGGGAAGGGAGGCTGACAGCCACACAACACGGCTTCCGCAAAAACAGGTTCTGCCAGACAAACGTTGTGGAATTCTGTGACAAGATTTCAAGGTGGCTAGATGGAGGGGATGCAGTGGATGTGGTATACCTGGACTTCAGCAAGGCCTTTGACAAAGTGCCCCATGATATCCTGGTGGAGAAATGGAGGAGTTTTGGGATACACCAAAGCACTGTCCAGTAGATTAGGGCATGGTTGACTGACCGAAAGCAGAAGGTAACCATTAGCAGGAAATCATGGGGATGGTGGCCAGTGACAAGTGGGGTCCCCCAGGGCTCTGTCCTGGGGCCGATCCTGTTTAATCTTTTCATTAACGACATGGAAGAAGGGGCGAACAGTCTGCTGATCAAATTCGCAGACGACACTAAAACTGGAGCAGTGGCCACAACTGAGGAGCAGGTACTCCAGATCCAAAAGGATCTGGACAGACTATGGAAGTGGGCAGGAGACAACAGGATGGCGTTCAATGTGGATAAGTGCAAGGTCTTGCACTTGGGGCATAGGAATAGCTGTCATAAACACAGGTTAGGTGACAAGTGGCTGGAGAGCAGCACTTGTGAAAGGGACCTCGGGGTACTGGTTGACTGCAGGCTAAACATGAGTCAGCAGTGTGATGCGGTGGTCAAGAGGGCGAACACCACCCTTGGTTGCATAGCCAGAAGTGTGGCTTCTAGATCAAGAGAGGTATTACTACCACTCTACACGACTCTGGTGCACCCGCAACTGGAGTATTGTGTTCAGTTTTGGGCCCCTCATTACAGAAAGGATATAGCCAGGTTGGAGTCAGTGCAGCGTAGGGCCACAAGGTTGGTGGCCGGTTTGCAGGGAATGCTGTATGAGGCGAGACTGAGGGAACTTGGTCTCTTTAGCCTAGAGAAGAGGAGACTCAGAGGGGATATGTTGGTGACATACAGGTATGCGAGGGGATGTCACATGGAGATGGGTAAAGACCTGTTCTCCCCTGCAGAGGAAGGCAGGATGTGCTCCCACAGAGCAAAGCTCAGGGAGCCAAGGTTCCATTTGGATGCCAGGAAGCACTTCCTGACAGTCAGGACCCCAAAGGTGTGGAATGGGCTTCCACGAGAGGTCATTGAGGCCCCATCGGTTCAGGTGTTCAAGGATAGACTGGATGTCCACATGGTGGGCATGTCGTGAGTGGAGCCGGCTGGTGCCGGAAGTCAGACTAGATGGCCCAGGGGACCCCTTCTGACTCGCTCTGTTTCTATGTTTCTATAACAAATTTGAGCAGACCCAGGTTTCTATGGATCTCACCTGCAGCTTCTGCAACAGGCCAACTTCTTCCAGGAAGTTTGGCTTTGTGGACCAGGTTTTTGTGGGATTCTGGGTTAATGCACACTTGCACATTAGTTCTAGTGTGCATTCGAACCGCAAAATTCTCATACCTCTCTAAAAAAAATTCTAAGAGCATCAATGAGCAGACAATGGAATGAAAGATGCCCCCAAACCCAGTTGGAACACATTTAACAAAATCCATACATCCCCAGTTGAAACCAGCTTTAACAGGTTATTTTTATAGGTTTTAATACTGTTTTACTTTTAATTCATATTTTATTTCATATTAAATTAATATTTTAGTTAGCATTTATTTATTTATTTATTTAAAAGCTTTTGTATGCCATCCTATTATACTAGATCTAAGAAAGACTTACAATAGTATTCCATTCTTTACTGCCCTGAGCATCCCATGTTGTTGGAAAGGCAGGACACAAACTGAACAAAGAAATATGTTACACAAACCGTGCAAACTCTTCTGCTTCCTGAGCTACTTTCCCAGCCTGAATGTCTTGCCCCACTAGGAATATGGGACACAAAGCAAGTATATTAGGCATGCTTACCTTTGTCAAGCAAAAAAACAGCTTTAAGGAAAGCAATTCAGATCAGAAAAGGGTTAACCACTCCCCACACCCGGGTCACTTAGGTCCCGTTTAAATTGGTGATCCATGTCTATCAATTGCCATTGAATACAAAACTAAGCAATTGGGTGTAGTTGAGTCTTTAATCAAAGACACATGGCAGTTTCTTTATGGAAATCTTTACACATGAAAGTGGAAAAAGTGGAATTCTTAAAAGTTGGGAATAATGCACTGGACTGCTTGGCCAGCAGAGTAACATGGTTCAACTTCTGCTGGATTTGCCACTTCAGACTGCAGTTGGGCTTCATATTAAAATGTTTCTTCACATGCAAAAGCTACTACATATGCAAAATTAGTCCCCTCCCTGATACTAGATTTTCCTTTTATTCCTGGAGGTTGTGATGGTTTTCTAGGGACCAAACATGACATGGGTACCGGGTGCAACAGTTTCCTTATACATTTTCATGATGAGAAACTGACACTGGACACTGAGTAGGAGTAGTGGAGAAAAGGAGATCCCTCCTCTTTCTTGATAGGAGGATCTGGACCGTCTTCCAATTTGTTCTTTAGTTTGGTGGTAAGTTATTATGAGGTTTTGTCTCTCTGTATGCACAAGTCACTTTCAGTCACCAGCTTAATAAAAGGAGGTTATATTTTTAGTTAAAATAGAGGGAGCAGGATAACTCGTGGGTCTAATCTGGTTCACAGAGGTCGTCCATTGAGCCTGCGGTGGCTGGGAATCCACCCTGGCATCCAAGTCTCATTTCCAAGCTACGGTCACAGCCCAACAGCTACTAGAGACTCTGCAAGGGCAGGGGGGATCTCCTAGTTATCTCTGATCTGTGACTGGTGATAACAAGAGAATTTCTCTGCATGCCACTCCGTCTCTCACTGGAGAACAAAGAGATGGGGAAGCTGGGAGATACATCTGCCCTGAATCTTCTTCCAGGGGAAGAGGGAAATGGGACAGGTGCAGGAGTGGTTCCCAAGTGCTGCACTCTACGGACAAATGTGGACGGCCCCCTTGTTACCTCTGATGAGCGATCCCTCTGTTCAGGCCAGCAGAGGGCTGGTGAGTGGTAGGAGCAGAGCATGGGGGGTACCCATTCCTCCACGAGCTGTCCTAGGCAACACATGGGTCACTTTAGGCCTTCCCTTAATTTAGCCTGTGGGGGAAAGTGTGGTTTTGGGTATGCAGGTCCAAACTATGTGAAGCCACATTCAAGCAAAAAGGAAAGCAGAAAGTGGGAAATGGGAGCAAGGTGGCCCAGTCTTACTGCTGGAGCTCCAGGAATCTCAGAGTGTGCAAGCATTACTGAGATTCAAGGGTTCATTATGTTGCTGCTGTTTCTTCCTGCTTATAGCCAGTATGTGTGATACTGCACCTATTCCAGGCCTTAATAAGCAGCAGCCCTGGGTGTGGGGATGAGGAGCTGATTTGAAATATGAAAGAGGCTTCTTCTCATAATAAAGCAGTGACAGTGACACAGATCTCCTAATCAGGCATTTAATAATTTTGCATTGTAGCTTGGAAAATGTCTTTCATTAAAATTCTCTTGCTAGCAACCACATGCCAGGCAATTATTCTTGAACAGAGGATTTCAAAGTCTGAGTAAATTAAATGGGCTCTGTTCTAAAAGCAAAACTGCCCTGAGAGCATCATTACTTTTACGAAATAGCAGACCTGAGCTGATACCAGCCTCCTTGCCTCTCCTTGGTGTGTGTGTGCAATTCCAAGGGTGTTGATGAGAGGTGAGTGCACCTGTTAGGGCAGGTCACACACAAAAAAATGCTCCAAATGGAAAGAACAGCTTGAATTTCACTCCCAGGCCATCAGAGGAGAATTTTGCTGCAGTGAGGAAACAACCGACCTCGCTTGCCAGCATAAGAAGAACGGTCTTGTTCTACGAAGGGCCTCTCTATTACATTTGCAAAGGAAAATGCTATGGCTGGAACTCTCCTTCAGCGAGGAGACCATGAACCCACCATGATGGAATCATAGGCAGCATGCCTAGTTGCAGCTGATGCTCAAGCTGGTTCAGGGGCTCATGGTCCTGCTGCTCCTGTCTTTCCCCCTCTATTGACTCCTTCCATGCCTCCATCTCTGTGCCACCCATTTAATTCAACATCAGGCACCCTGCGGATCTAGCCACCATGGAAGAGGCATATGCAAATAAAACATAATTTTCAGCAGTTCAGCTACCCACCCCTGTAGTCATTATATGTGCAGTCCGATGTTGCACTTGCTCAGGTTTTCCATCAGCAGATAGGCAAGTACTTTATTACTGTCAATCGACCTGCATATAAACAGGCACATGAAACAGAATTCAAAACAATTAAGACAAAAACATTAAAAATAATAGATTGAATGAATGCAAGTGCAGCCTAAGGGTAGAGCCTCACATATTTTAATTGTTGCTGCAGAAAATTTAGCGGCTTTCAGAGTGACCTGTGCTTTTACATCAGAAAGAGGGAAAGGAACATAAAATGCATGTGGACATCCTGGCAAATTAACCAAATAGTTTCACTAAAACCTTTTTGGATATCCCAATGCAAAGAACAAAAGTAAAGGATGCAAGTTACTGGTTCAATCTCACCTGGTTTGCATGGACACCTGTGATCATCATAAGGCACTTTCAGACTTCGGGAACCATTGTTGTTGGTAGATCTGCAGAGGGAGCTTTCAGAAGTATTATCGGTCAGGTGGGGAGTGGGGGCTTAGGAAGAGTCTCTCCCTTCCCTGTGGTGGGAATAGGAGAGCATAATTCAGCTGGGGTTAGTTTTGGAGAACATCTTTATGGCAACTGGCAAGTTTGGAGGTTTTTGTGGCCTAGCATGGAAACATGGGTTGCCTCTGAGGCCAACTCTCCTCAACCACTTGGAGTTTTATGGCTGTGGGAGGAGGTAGCATGGAAAGGCCTCCATAGAGCATGTCGGTACAGATCCGGTGGTGGTGAGAGGCCCCATCCAGCTGAAATGGACTGAGTGTCTCCCTGCTAATACCACAAGAGAGTTGCCCATAAAGTGGCAGCCTTCAAGCTCTGAAGATCTCTTTTAAATAAATGCGGCCCAAGTGCAGACCAAATACAGTGTGTCTGTCTCTTTATTCCTCCTCCCTTTCACTTGCAAATATGCAAGGTACATCATTCAGTCAGTCATTCATTCTTTCTATAATGAAATGTATATCTAGAGAAGGAGAGGGAGGGAAGGAGGTGTTACATGGCACAATAGCAAAGCAACAAGGCAGCTCTGGATCCACTATAGAAGCAGTCGGTTTTAAGCTAAAATATACAAGGAAGACAGAATAACAATAGGGTAATTTCAAGCTATATTTAGAGCTAAACATTTCAGCTTCTGCCTTCATCAGTAGCTGTGATGATAAATGGAGACCAAGAGGATTTTTGCTCCTTAGGAATTTTCACACACAATATATATATATATATATATATATATATATATATACACACACACATATATATATATATATATACACACACACACACACACACACACACATATTATTATTATTATTATTATTATTATTATTATTATTATTAAACATTTCTATGCCGCCCCTTGCCGAAACCTCGGGGCGGCTTACAACACAATAAAATACATTGAAATACAATAGAACATAATAAATTACCATTAAATACAAAAATACAAAAAAATACACTGAGTTACAAACATAATAATATAAAATTAAAATTATCAGTATAAAATAAGTAAATAATATAGGAGGAGAAAAGAGAAGGATGTATGTATGTATATGTATGTATGCACATGTACATGCATGCACACACAGAGTTGTGTTTCTTACAACATTTTCAGTTGCTCTTTATCATAACTGTGGGGCAGACCCTGCTTCTCTAATGTGTGTTGATTATACATGCAATGAAGGCAGGCATTTCCTGTTTTGGAGTGCTAATATGGACCAAGAAACAGGCAAGCATACAATGACGAGTACCATATCAGTCAGACATTCCTAGGGGCTATCTCAGAAAAGAAATAGGGACATAGAACAATTACTCCCCCACACCATCCCTCCCTGGAACTCCTTCCCAACTTCCTAGTCTGAAAATCCTGAAAGTCAGGACTAACTTAAAACAGCAAAAGGAAAATGCCACCACTGCAGTATCAAATAACTCTCAGGCACAGTATTTCATTTGATTCCTCCCAGATCTTAAGGGACTGTTGCTAAGATCCAATTTAGTGAAATATTAAATAAAACTGATAAAAAGATTTATAGAATGCTGAAATGATACTAAACAGGCCATGCCATTCCGGTGGAGGATTCGCTGTCAAAGTGGCCAGGCTGAAGTCCTGTATTCATCAGTAATTTTTAATCATTTCTAAAATATATACAGCTCCCAGAATCTTGTGATGGTAAGAGGTGAGTGCCCTTGATTTGGTAAATGGGCCCATGAGATGCAATGCAGCATCACCTTCTGCTCTCCACTGTTTCTCTTACCTGCCATCACACACAGAGGACTAACAAAAGGAACATATGGCACATAATGCTACTGGACTCATTATTCTATCATGCACAGTGTAGAGTTGACTTCTGTTTGGTTCCACACCGATGTTACTTACTTTCCAGGTGTGTATCTTTGTATTCCTTGAGGGCTGGCAGTTTCTCCGAGATGCTTAAATTCGTCTCAAGGCCTCCCTCTGATGAGGAGAGGTTGAAGAGATTGATTTGATGATATGAATCAAACTAAGAGCAAGGGGAAGAAACCTGAGGTTGCAGTGGCCCAGAGTACTGTTGTGCTTTGTGGGACCGAGCATTTCTAGGCTCTCGCTGCCTGTGTTGGTGCATGCCTGCTTGCCCCCTTCCAGTTTGTAAAATAAACAGAGATGGTGGTGATGATGGTGTTGCAAAAAGACAAGTCTTCATTATTCTGTGTACTGATGTACTGCATTTTTATTCTGCTCAATAGCTTTCTGGACAATTTGCAAACAATGGAATACAGAAATTGTACCTGGGACAATGCGAATAAATCTTTACAGGGAAAAATTATTTATGGGTACTTATAGTTCATACAAAGGATGCAGATGGTGCAGTGGTTTAAACTGCTGACCTGCTGGGCCAGTTGATTGAAAGGTCGCCAGTTCGAATCTGCACAAAGGGGTGAGACCCCGTTCCTCCGTCCCAGCTCCTGGCAACCTTGCAGTTCGAAAGCCTATAAATGCAAGTAGGTAAATAGGTACCACTTTGGTGGGAAGGTAGCAGCGTTCTGTGCACTTCGGTGTTTTGTCATGCCAGCCACATGACCACGGAGACTGTCTGCAGACAAACGCTGGCTCCCTCGGCTAGGAAACGGAGATGAGCACTGCTCCCTAGAGTCAGACATGACTGGACTTTAATGACCTTTACCTTTACCTTTATTGTTCATACAGCAGTGTCCCTGCTCCTCTTGCCTGGAAAGAACTAGAACTTTTAGACCAATCTCCCAGTTCTGGGAAAAGTGGCAGCACCAGAGGCCCCGTTACTCCTATTTCTTTCAGCAGTTGAGGCTCTGCACCTGTCTAAGGTGGCTGCTGCATTACTGCCGAGCTAATCCTCTCTGGAAGGGGTGCCTGAGCCTCTTTCTATCAGCTACAGCTGTGTGTGTATCCAGCCAGCTCCTGGGCTGCTGAGACCAGCCCTGACTAGATTCTCCTGTCCTGATGAAACCACCTCCTTCTGCACGTGAAAACCCACACGTGGGGTCTGCTATGATTCATGTCACCCTGCTATTTGCCCTGTCAATACTCGCTGATCACTCTTCTCACTGCAACCTTGTGCACTATCCTCTCGCTGTTGAATCACAGTGCTCTCTGTTTGCCTGCCTTGTTTTGTGCAAGGCACCCATTCTTCCCTCATCCTCATCTCCTCTACTGCCTGTGTGACCCATAACCTATAAAACATTCTGCACATTTTTGGGGAACTTGTACTTCGAGTGCATGACTCTCCAGCAGCACTGTGTCGGCAAAATAATTGCCCCATGTTGTCAGCAAAATAATCACTTTGTTCTGGGATAAACTAGTGGTTCGCAATGCATCCTGGGATTCCCATAAGCTAACTGTAATGTCAAGGAGGGGATCTCTGTGCACCCTTGGCCCCCACCAACAGTGGAGTGTCTCATCATTCCCATGCTTAAAAATGAGTGCATTTCTTACTGAAATAGGTCGCTGTTAGTGTTTATAACTATGGGTTCAAAGGAGTTTGTTGAATGTGTTGGACTGAGATCTTTCGGGAAAGCTACTTGTCTTTTTCCATGTTCCTTATGACAGCCATTTTGTGGTGGTGGCCAGGGCAGCTTCTCAAATTATGAAATAAGCCTATGGCCAAATCATGATCTGTACAACTACTGCAAATGGATCAAGTAACATAAATACCTTGTTCAGCCTCTCGCAAATCTTTTAGCATATCATTGAAAACCAGCCATATTTGCTGCAGAGATATCCATAATAATTCCATGTTCATCTGTGTGACACCATTTCATTGACTTGGTGGTGTCATGAGCGGGGCAGTTGAATTATGGTGTTACATCCAGAGCAAAAATTGCAGTTCTGATATACCATGGCACCTTACCATGGCCAAAGTCCCTAGACTACCTAGACCAGTGATGGTGAACCTTTTAGAGACTGAGTGCCCAAACTACAACCCAAAACCCACTTATTTATCGCAAAGTGCCAACACTGCAATAAAAGCTGAAAACTGAGGTTTTTGTTTAGAAATCAGCCAGTCCAAGCGCGCGCGCGCGCACACACACACACACACACACACACACAAACACAAACACATATATCCTTGGCAGTGCACTGGCTGGCCATGCGAAAGCTCGGACGGGTCGCAGCTAATGAGTTGCAGCTCATGATTTCATCGCCTGGTGCTGCTACTCCTTTCCGAGCATGCACATGGCCCCTGTGTGTGCTGTTATCCGATGCTCGGCTGCTGGGGCGATGCTGGGGTGACTTGGCTCACGTGCCAACAGAGAGGGCTCTGCGTGCCCACTGCGGCAAGTGTGTCATAGGTTCGCCACCACTGACCTACATACTGAAGGTGCTATTGAAAAAAGTATCAATAAGCCTACTAATAAGTCTTTAGTTACTGCAAGCATAGAAAGTATAAGTTAAGTTTTATACTCCTCCTCTAGAAAGTACAGAATTTTATACTGAAAAATAGGTTGTCTTGAATGCATGCCTTTGTTGGACCCAGGTCTTGTATTCTTCCTTCAAATTTAACTTGGAGAATTTCTGAAGTAAGGCATGTGGTTTGTCATCACTTTAATTTCCTTCAGCTTTTTTTCTCATCTCCTCAGCCACACTTCCCAATATTACTCATGTAGATGTTTGGATTTATCAAAAAGGGGAAAGGTCCAGTGGCTATAATGGTACAATTGTATGCATGATTGCCTCAGGGTTCTTTCTGTGTTTTACCAAGGTGAAGCAGCACCTATGGACAGGTCAAAATACCACACAGGAAGACTCTCGAGCAGTCACATCAACCTTTTGCCATGTTGCATCAATGCACGCACGGCCATCGTAGAACAGAAAACTGTCATGCCCTAAAAACCACGTGGAGAACATGATCAGTTCGAGGGGTGGGCATCTTGCTTTCATTGCCCACAACATACCACAAAACATTTTTAACTGGTTTAAAACAGCATGCAGAGCACTACAGAGTTCCAAACAAGCCAAAAATATATTTTTGTAAGCTGAATTTGATGTTTTTGGTGTGCTATAATGCTCCAGGGACTTTTTATTTCATTCTTTCAGGTCATCCACAAACTGTAGCCCATGCCAGCAGTGGTGGTGGTGGGAAAGATCTCCAGACCTTCCAGAACTGCTCATTCCTGCCCAATACAAAATGCAAATATCCACAGCAACAGATTAAGTAGGTCTGTGTGATCAGCTTTATTTTGGCAAAAGAGCTGGGGAATTAGAAACTCCAAAATCTAGAGGCCACCTCAGATGATCAGTCTGAAATGCTGTAATATCACAATTCTGTGGTACTAAGATGTAAGACAAAACAAACTGGAGAGAGGTTTTCAAGCAGGTAGAAACAAATCCAAGGTTTTGTTGCAGCATTCAGAATATATTGCTAACAACAAAGGAAATCTCTCTTAGCTCTGATTCTATCATAACAGGTGGTATCTGTGCATTGGAATAGGGTGCTGGGCAGCAACAAGACACAGATGTCCTTTAAAATATAGATATATTTCTAGTCTCACTATGGCCTATTCCTTGGAGAAGTTTTCAATTTGTATTTTGGCTCTATCACTTCAGGTAGCATTGGAAGACTCACCTGTGAAAACCTTGCCAACAATGAGAAGACTTCCACATACAGAAAAGTAACATACCAGGAAGAAGGTTAGGTAAGACTTTCTACAGCTGAGCTCCTGACTTTTCAAATTACTTTCCTCATCTTACTTCTAAGCAGAAAAGGGGGATTATGTCACCAAATTTTTCAAGGGGAAAAATAGACTTAGGATCGTGCTGGAGGCTTTGTTGGGGAACAGAGGGAGAAATGGAAACTATCTTTGTCTCCTTTTCATCTTCAACGTAAAGCTGTGGATATGCTAAACCAGTGCTGGCTGTAGCAGTGGACTGGATGAAGGCAGACAAATGGAAGCTCAGTCCAGATAAGATCGGATGGTGAGTGTCCATTTTGATCTAGAGGGGGTTTTACTCAGCCTGGAGGAGCAGGTTCGACATGCGGCTCCAAAGGCCTTCTACCAGCTTGGCCCAGCTTGGCCCCTCTCCAGGCAGAGAGGACCTGGATTCAGTAATCTATGTTTTGGTAATCTCTCAACTAGACTATTGCAACTCACTTTAAGGGGGCTGTCCCTGAAGCTGCAGCTGGTGCAGAACATGGCAGCCAGAATAGTAACTGGGGCCCATAGGTCTGGACATTTAAGACCAGTTCTGTCTTGCCTGCACTAGCTGCCTCTATGCTTCTGCAGCAAAATCAAGGTGATGGTTTTAACATATGAATCCAACATGGCTAACATGGCTTAGGACCCCAGTACCTCTCAAAGCACCTTTCCCAACCGTAATCTTCTTGGACACTGTGCTCAGCTTCTGGGGCCTTCCTCTGAGTGCCAACCCCACCGGAGGCTCAGAGGACAACCATGGGGGAAGGGGCCACTTTTCAGTGGTGGCCCATCTTTGGAATAAGCCTCCTCCTGTGGTCTTCCTAGCACCAAATTTTCCCTCTTTTCAGCACCAGGCCTTTAAAGACCTCCTTGGTTATCCAGGGGCCTGAAGGGATCATCCAGATGATTCTTCTTCTTTGCTGGGTCTTTTCCTGCCATTTAAAATAATTTAAAGATTATTTTAACACTGCTGCTTTTATGGTATTTGTACTGTATTGTATTGTTTTATACATTGCTGTAAACTCTCCAGAGACCTGTACACCCTGTACACTCTCACATGATGGTCCCAATCCAGATTGAGCCATTGTCCCCTTCAGAAAAAGGTCAGGATCTCCTAGATGTCAGTCATGAAGCATTGTTTTTCTCACTTAGTTCTCAGGTGGATTTTTTTTTTCTGAGTAAATATATGTAGGTTTGGTGTGCCCAGATGCTAAAAACAACAACAACACACACACACACAGAGTAATCATAATTTGGCTTGCATCTACAGGATATATATATATATATATATATATATATATATATATAGTTCAAGAAAAATTCTGAAGAGCCTAGATAATTATCTGCATAATAAGTGGTATGATTTTGGCCTCAGCTTTATTATATTCCATTGCAATTTTTGAAGCTAGTGCCTTTTGAACAAGTAAGTGAGTGTATGAGCTTAGTACAATGTTTCAAGATCTCTAGATTAGCATAAGAACCAGCAAAGGGAACAGAAGTGAAATCTCACAGTAGGTGACCCATTCATCTGAAAGGGATTTGGTTTCTATCTTCTGCCTTTCAAGTAGGTGTCTTCTCTTATGTTCAAGTTTATGTGAAATGTAAATAATTACAAAACATTTTAATTTTCCAACTGTCAGTGACTCTGACTTCACTTTCTCAGCTTCTCCAGTGGGATTTGGAGCTTAGAAAATAGCTTCCTCTGAATTCACAAAACATTATTTTTCATAATGTTTTTCTCCATTGGAACGCCTCCAAAGAAAGCTGCTCAAGAGGAATAGAGATGAGGAGAAAAATATGAAACTGGCATTTCCCCCAACAACTGTCATGGAAGGTCACCTTGGTTAAAAGACAGAATGAAGATGATTACCGGGAAGGATGGGGAAAGAAAACAATGGCATGCAGTTGATAGGTTTTTAATTCCAAGTAGAAAGGATGTGATTCTTGCATCTTAAAGATTTGGCAACATACATGCCAGCCATTCATCCATGTGTATGTGAACATGACTAGAGAGACTCAGAGCTTCCCAAAGGAGTTCCCAAATAGATGGCATCTGTATGATTGCCTCTTTGTTTGCAACCCAATGCCATGACATTAAGTAAATCCCTTCTCCACTAGAAATAGCCACTCTGGAAGGCAACTGCTTTACCATGTACTTGGAGGGCTCTCTTCCTAGGCTGCTCAGCCTGGCCTTGACCCTGAATGACCAAGTGTCGGCTGTTGCCAGGGGTGACTGGTGCATACCACTTTTGGAAATATATATCTGGCTGTGTTGATTCAAAGTAACCTCATATCTAGTGCAAGGTGATCAGCTTTGAAGAATTCTTAGAAGCTATGGGTGACCAAGCATGAAGCGGCCAAATAGTTACTACAGGATGCATACAAAGAACATGCAACTTTCTTATTAAAACAGCTGCACAGGCTTCCAGTCCATTTCATGCTGTGAGCAAACTGAAGCTCAATTCAGACAAAATTGAGATGCTATTGGAAGGTTCTTCTTCTGGTCAGATGGAGAGAATTCAACCTGTTGCATTCCCCTTGACATTGCAGGTTCATAGCTTGTGGGACTTTGAGGTCCAGGTGGCTTCAGTGACTTGGAGAGCCTTCTACCAGCTTCAGCTTTGGTTGGTTGCTCAGCTATGCTCCTATCTAGACAAATTAGATCACCTCCTGGGTAGGTGACGTGGATCTTGTCCTGAATGGGGTTGCACTCCTTCTAAAGGACCAGGTCCACAGCTTGGGAGTGCTCCTCGACCCGGAGCTGACTTTGGAAGCTCAAGTGTTGGCAGTGGCGAGGAGCGCTTTCCATCAGCTTCAGCTGATCCATCAGCTGCGTCCCTACCTGGAGGACGACTGCCTAGCAACAGTGATGCATGCATTGGTTACTTCCCGATTGAACTTCTGTAATGTGCTCTACATGGGGCTGCCCTTGAAGACAGTTCGGATACTTCAGATGGTACAAAATAAAGCAGCCAGGTTGCTGATGAGGACTGGGCATTGTTCTCATATAACCCCAGTCCTCTACCAGCTTCACTGGCTTCCCATCAAAGTCCGGGCTCAATTCAAGGTGTTGGTAATTACTTATAAAGCCCTTAATGGCTTGGGACCCAGATACCTGAAGGAACACCTGCAGCCATATTTGTCCTGCTGCCCCTTGAGATCGGCAGCAGAGGCTCTCCTCCGGGAGCCTTCTGTAAGAGATATCAGGAAGCAAAGTACCCGGAGGAGGGCTTTCTCTACAGTGGCACACCATCTCTGGAATGTGCTCCCCAGAGAGGCCCGCCTGGTACAGTTGTTATTTGCTTTTCAGCGCCAGGCTAAGACCTTTTTATTCAAACAGTATTTTAATAATCTTTAATATTTATAGTTTTTAATTGTGCAGCCAGTGTGTTTCCAAGTTTTAATTGTAATTGTAATTGTATTTGTTTTATTTAGTTATTGCTGTGACCCATTCTGAGGCTATGTAGCAAGGGGACAGCATATAAAAACTTTAAATAAATAAATAAACAAACAAATAAATAAAATTAGGGATCTATGCTCTGGTAAACTCTAAACTAGATTACTACAATACATTCTATGTGGGGCTGACGTTAAAGACTCATGTGTGCAGACAAATGCCTGTATAGAGTTATTGGGTTTTCTATGGGGGAAATGGGGGGTGGAGGCAAGAGACTATGCCTGCCCTTTTCTAGAGAGGAACTACTAGAAGTTCAAAAGTGTGGCTTTCACAGGAATGAAGACATAGGTACAAATATTAACCCCTGTTCCCCCAATTCCTACTGTTCAAATAAAAATTGGACCATTTCATCCCAGGCAGCTTTAAAGGAAAAAGGCCATGAATCCCAGAAATTGCCGATCTTTATATGGCAGACTTGGAGTATAACTTTGTTGCCACTGGACATTGTTAATTGATGTAGTTAACAGGAAAACCTACAAGTCAGGAATTCCTCATTGAAAACCTCCCTCTGTCATGAACTTACTAAGTTCAAGCAAACTACTCAGTCACAGCCTCAGTCACACCCTCTGCAGCAGGAGGCTAAGAATACTAACCTACCTGGAGAACTGTTATAACAATTGTAATCAGTAATGTGCATCAAGCACTTTGAATGTTATCATGCTTGCATCAATTCTACGAGTTAGCAATTTCCTTGATTTTCTTCTATTGAACATTTATGGAGTACTTGTTACTTGAAATATTGTTTTACTTCACTGAAGTAGCAAACTTATCCATTTTTTCAAAATAGGGTGCAAAGAAAATGATTTGAAATTATTTCAATCCGTTGTCTTTAACTAAAGTGTTTTGTAAAACAGAGAAGGAAAATAGAAGAAAAAATGTTAAACATCACAGGAAGACTCTCTCCATATGTGTGTGTGTGTGTGTGTTTACTTGATAAGCTGAAGGAAAGATAATTTGAAATAAAAATAATAATAAAATTCAAGCTGCCATATTACTTGAACAATGCAAAACTGCCATATTGCTTGAACAATGCAAATGATCCTTAGAAGCTTCCACTTGAGAAATCTTAACAGGAACATGTTATTGAAGATGCCAATCAGAGACAGAAGGACTGGCAGGCAGAATAACAAAAGAGATATGAAATTTTATAGGACAGAAAAAAGCATGTTCTTCAAAAAAATAAATTTGTTCATAAGTCTAAACAGAATAGCACATTTATAAAAGATTTATGCATGAAACAAAACATTATTTCTGTCAAAAGTACTTAAAAGAAAGCATCTTTCAAAGATAATGCCTTTTAAATTTCTTTCTGAGAAATTAAGCCATGATAACACCAATGATCTACGTGTTCTCAAGTAAAATTAAGGGTACAATCCTATGCATGTTTACACAGAAAATATCCTTCAGCTGCAAGCACTCTCCATCCTAGGACATGTTGCGCGTTATATGCAACTTTATTCTACCAGCTATGGAAAAGATCGCACCACAAATGTATTTTGAAACCCAAGATCTTGTTGCTTCTCATCCATAAACTACTGGGGAGGTCCTTAACAAATAAACCTGAACAATTCATGATGCTCCCCTAACTGAGAACAGCCCGAGCCTTAGGAGCATAACTAACAGGGAACAGGATCACAGCAGGGATGCAAATGCCCTGATGAGAAGATTTCTTAGAATATACTTTCTCAGAAGAAGTCTGGATGTTTGCCTTTTCCCCAACTTCAGATAAAGAAGGTCACTTTGCAGAGCTTTCCTCAAATACTTGTAGCAGCTGCCATTGCTCCCTGAAACAATGCGAGTATGCAAAATAGTGGCTTGGTGCCAACAAAGCTGCTGCTGGGACTTGCTGAAGCTTAAAACCCCGTCCTTAGGGGAAGAGAGAGAAGCAGAGCTGCTTCTGCGAGGAAATGGGCATGTGGAGATGTCTGTTTCCAGGGTGAAGATCTATTGGCAGGTTGATGGAAGCTCATCATGGATATTGGGAGAAGTTAAAGCCTTCTCTCCTCCCAGAGATGACGATCCAGGTTGCTGCATGATCACTGGGAGGAGGAGAGTTTTAACCTTGCCCCCTCCCTGCTGAGTGTTTATTGTGGGGAGAGGAAGTGCATGGATGAGGAAATGTGCTGGGTGAGAAAGTGTGTGAGGAGGAAGAGGGGAAATGGGGGTGAGTGTATGTAGGGACAGAAGAAGTGTACATAGGGACAGAAAAAGTACGCTTGTGGGGGGGGGAGAAAAGTGCCTGCATTTCTGTGGGTGTCTGTGTCCAAGATTGTATAGAGGGAGGGTTTTTCATACAGAGGGTCCAGGAGGTGATGGGGTGGAGGGGAGGGGCATCCTTGACTTGGTTTTGACCAACAGGGAGGAGGTGATAGATGAGGTACAGATTAGGAGAGCTCTGGATGTGAGTGATCACTCCTTTGCTTTGAGATCCTTTGCTTTGAGACTGGGGAAATGGGGATGCACAGCAGGTCGAGCACTAGAAGCTGGGACTTCAAGAGGGCCAACTTTGGCCAACTGAAGGCCAGGCTGGGGAAAGTCTCCTGGGATAGGTTACTGGAAGGCAAGGGAGTTGAAGAGGTGGATGACACTCAAAAGGGACGTTTTGGAGGCCTTGACGATACCTCTGGTTAGTAAGGCAGGGAGGCAGAGGAGAGTGCTGCCATGTATTTGAAAGGAGGTGGTTAGAGGGATTAGATGCAAGAGGAAACTCTGTAGGAAATGGGTACTGGGGCAAATAGACAAAAGGGTATACCGAGAAGGCCCATTGCAGAAGAATTCTTTGCAAGGCTAAGGCTGATTACGAGCTGAGACTTGCCAAGAATATCAAGAGCAACAAAAAGGGCTTCTATTCATATGTAAATAGCAAGAAGAAGGGGAGACAAGTGGTGGGACCACTAAATAAGGAGGAAGGAGATCCAGTGACTGATATGAGGGAACAGGCACAAATGCTAAATGACTATTTTGACTCTGTGTTCTCCCCAAAGCAGGATGGGGGCTATCCGCATAGGAGATTAGATGAGGCTGGGGACTTAGGGGCACAGGTTAGAGTCACCCCCCTTGAAGTCAAGGGGCTCCTCAGGGCATTGGACATTACAAAGGCGCCAGGCCCTGATGGGTTACACCTGAGACTACTTCAAGAGTCAGCAGGGATTCTCATGCCCACTGGCCTCCATTTTTGAGGCCTCATGCAGAAGTTCCAGAGGACTAGAGGGTGGTATCTGTGGTCCCAATTTTCAAAAAGGGTAGTAGGAGGGACATGGGGAATTACAGACCAGTTTGCCTTATGTCTATTGCAGGAAAAACAATGGAAAGGCTCATAGTTGCGAGAGATCTAGTGATGCTAGGTAGGGAAGGGAGGCTGGAAGCCACACAACACGTCTTCCACAATAACAGGTCCTGCCAGACAAACCTTATGGAATTCTGTGACAAGATTTCAAGGTGGCTAGATGGAGGGGATGCAGTGGATGTGATTTATCTGGATTTCAGCAAGACCTTTGACAAAGTGTCCCATGATATCCTGGTTGAGAAACTAAGTTTTGAGATAGACCAATGCACTGTCCAATGGATTAGGGCATGGTTGACAGACCGAAAGCAGAGGGAAACCATTAGTGGGGAATGATCAGGATGGCAGCCAAGGACAAGCGGGGTCCCCCAGGGCTCTGTCCTGGGCCCGATCCTGTTTAATCTTTTCATCAACGACATAGAAGAAGTGGTAAATGGTTTGCTGATCAAATTCACAGACAATACTAAAACCGAGGCAGTGGCCACAACAGAGGAACAGGTACTCCAGATCCAAAAGGATCTGGGCGGACTATGGAAATGGGCAAGAGACAACAGGATGGTGTTCAATGTGGATAAGTACAAGGTCTTGCACTTGGGGCATAGGAATGGGTGTCATAAGTACAGGTTAGGGGACAAGTGGCTGGAGAGCAGCACTTGTGAAAGGAAACTCGGGGTGCTGGTTGACTGTGGGCTAAACATGAGTCAGCAGTGTGATGCGGTGGTCAAGAGGGCAAACGCTACCCTTGGTTGCATAGCCAGAAGTGTGGCTTCTGGATCGACTACCACTCTGGTGTGCCCGCAACTGGAGTATTGTGCTCAGTTTTGGGCCCCTCATTACAGGAAGGATATAACCAGATTAGAGTCAGTGTAGCGTAGAGCCACAAGCATGGTGGCTGGATTGCAGGGAAAGCCATATGAGGTGCGACTGAGGGAACTGAGAAAAGGAGACTCCAAGGGGATCTGTTGGTGACTTCTAGATACGTGAGGGGATGTCACATGGAGATGGGTAGAGACCTGTTCTCCCCTGCAGAGGAAGGCAGGACGTGCTCCAACGGAGCAAAGATCAGGGAA